AAATTTTAAATAAAATTTACATAATGATGAACACAAAACCAATAAATGGTGTGAAGAAAACAGAAAAAGAAAAGAAAAAACTATCTTAAGACAAATGTTTTCTAACTCCTTCTGAGTTCTTCTTCAGGCACTATAACAGTAACCAGATGGAACATTGTTTTGAAACAAAAAAGTTTTTTTGAAAGAAATGTAAATTCAAACCACAATTTGAACTATGAGTATAAAAAATTCAAAGCCACACATGCATTGTCTGTGTACAACAAAGATTCAATCAATGACTATACTGTCATGTCTAGTAGAGCCAGCTAGGCCATTGACATCATTTCCTCCTTAAAATTTATACAAGATGGCACAAAATTAGCTTTAAAGATTTCTATGACCTTCAACCATCTGAGATGCTCCATTTGTTTTCTTCACACTAATTATTTTGTACATATTAGTCATTACATATTTCCTAATGTAGTGTGTTGCTATAAAATTTACATTCTATTACAGTAGAGCATCGGTTATCTGAAATGTCAGTTATCCGAAAGAATTCCAGTTGGCAAATTTAAATTTTTGCTAGTGCTATGACGCTGCAATCTTCAGCTATATCTTGAGATATTCCAATATTTTTTTTGTTGGTGTGTGTGTTTTAGCTGATAGCACTGACACTTTTTTGTAGTGTTTTTCTGAGGACTGTGTCGTGCTGAATCGAACGTTTTTGATACAGTAGAGTCTCGAAAACTCGGCACTCGATAACCCGGCACTCCAGATAACTCGGCCACACCCTGGCAGGGCAAAAACATCCTTAGTTAATTAATTTTCATTATAGACAGCTTTATGCCTCATAAAGTATTTTTCTGAAGTCTGTCTTATCAGGTAAATTACTGAACACTGTATCCATTAATTTTCATTTTCATGTAGTAAAGGCTCTATGCCTTCATAAAGGACATACTTTTCCTTTGTTTAAGGTTATTTGGGCAGTTTATTCTCTGTTGTATTCTCAAGTAAACAATACATACAAGTACAGTACAGTATTTTCTGAGGAAACACTCGTACTTATTTTTTTTAACCCCATTCCCAATAACCCGGCATTTTCACAAACTCGGCCACCCTTCGGTCCACATTAGGCCGAGTTTTCAAGACTCTACTGTACTAGATTAACTTCTAAAGTATAATTTTTTTTGTTTTTATATTTTTCAATATATTTATTTTGTTTGTAAAAAGTAAAGAAATAATTTTTAACGATACAATAGCCATGATTATTATTTTAAAAAGTTTACTTTAGGCTTAACATCGACGAAAATTTAACACAATGCAACACACAACGGAGAAAAATTTCAATATGGGATAGGTTAATATATTTTTTCATACATAATCAGTTATCCAAAAAATAAGTTATCCGAACAACCTTAGTCCCCAATTGATTCAGATAAACAACGCTCTACTGTATATTATTTAAAATTAATGTGTGTGTCTGTGTAAAACCAGATGCCAATAATAATGTAGTTTAAAACAGTTTGATTTCATGTTATTAATAAAAGATTGATACAGAAGAAAAATTACAGCAACTACAGAAACATTAATTTAAAAAAAATTACTGTTAACAAAAATTTAAATTCTGCAGAATAATTCAATACTTCTTTTTAGTATAACATTGCCAAAACTTTGAAATTTCAATAATTATATTAAACAGAGAATAAAAATTCTAAACAGAAATTATTCTTTAAAATGGCTTAAAGAAACAAACAGTTTTTTAAAATTTATTTTAATATTAATAAGTGAATCAATTCATGATTCTAAGTAAAATTTGTTATTTTCATTTTAAAAATCATAATTACAATTCTTCTAATTTTCAAAACATTATTCTTTATACAATTATCTTTTAAATTATTCAAATCATTGAGTATAACACTCATCAATTGGAAATTTATAAAAATTTTAAACAGAATTTACTCAGCACAATAAACTATTTTTAATAAATGCAAGGCATGTTTTTTTAAGTAAGAAGTAAGTACCATTTTGACATTAAAAAAACACAAGTGCAATTTTTTTAATAATTTTATTCTTACATAAAAGCCTGTACCTTAATCTATTATACAACATAATTTCTTCCAATATTAAGGCACCTTTCATATTGTACAACCAGCTTTTGAATTCCATCCTCATAAAAACCTGCCGCCTGATTTGTCAACCACTGCAGCACGGCATTTTGACATCATCGTCATAGTGCTGACTGCCTAGATGCCTTTTCAAGTGCAGGAACAAGTGGTAGTCACTAGGCACTAGATCAGGGTTATATGGAGGGTGATCAAGTTGTTCCCAGCCAATATGATGTTATAAGATCTTTGGTTCATTGAGCCATGTGTGAACAGGCATTGTCATAAAACAAAACAATCTCCTTACTGAGCTTGCCATGCCTTTTATTTTGGATGACAAAATCGTAAAACATCTGTTTTCTCAAACTTTTGCATCAACTTTCTGCCCCAAGTCTTCAGTAATGACAGAAGGTTGCCCACTACGCTCCTCGTCATGGACATTAGTACAGCCATCTTTAAATGCTCTAACCCATTTTCTTACCATTCCATCACTCAATGTTTTTTTTATACCTCATTAATTTGCCGATGAATGTCAACTGCTTTCACGTCTTTTGCATTAAAAAAACGAATTGCCAGGCGTACTTCACAATCAGCAGGATTTTCAATTGTCTGAGGTATTTTAAACAAATGTAAAACNATACAATAGCCATGATTATTATTTTAAAAAGTTTACTTTAGGCTTAACATCGACGAAAATTTAACATAATGCAACACACAACGGAGAAAAATTTCAATATGGGATAGGTTAATATATTTTTTCATACATAATCAGTTATCCAAAAAATAAGTTATCCGAACAACCTTAGTCCCCAATTGATTCAGATAAACAACGCTCTACTGTATATTATTTAAAATTAATGTGTGTGTCTGTGTAAAACCAGATGCCAATAATAATGTAGTTTAAAACAGTTTGATTTCATGTTATTAATAAAAGATTGATACAGAAGAAAAATTACAGCAACTACAGAAACATTAATTTAAAAAAAATTACTGTTAACAAAAATTTAAATTCTGCAGAATAATTCAATACTTCTTTTTAGTATAACACTGCCAAAACTTTGAAATTTCAATAATTATATTAAACAGAGAATAAAAATTCTAAACAGAAATTATTCTTTAAAATGGCTTAAAGAAACAAACAGTTTTTTAAAATTTATTTTAATATTAATAAGTGAATCAATTCATGATTCTAAGTAAAATTTGTTATTTTCATTTTAAAAATCATAATTACAATTCTTCTAATTTTCAAAACATTATTCTTTATACAATTATCTTTTAAATTATTCAAATCATTGAGTATAACACTCATCAATTGGAAATTTATAAAAATTTTAAACAGAATTTACTCAGCACAATAAACTATTTTTAATAAATGCAAGGCATGTTTTTTTAAGTAAGAAGTAAGTACCATTTTGACATTAAAAAAACACAAGTGCAATTTTTTTAATAATTTTATTCTTACATAAAAGCCTGTACCTTAATCTATTATACAACATAATTTCTTCCAATATTAAGGCACCTTTCATATTGTACAACCAGCTTTTGAATTCCATCCTCATAAAAACCTGCCGCCTGATTTGTCAACCACTGCAGCACGGCATTTTGACATCATCGTCATAGTGCTGACTGCCTAGATGCCTTTTCAAGTGCAGGAACAAGTGGTAGTCACTAGGCACTAGATCAGGGTTATATGGAGGGTGATCAAGTTGTTCCCAGCCAATATGATGTTATAAGATCTTTGGTTCATTGAGCCATGTGTGAACAGGCATTGTCATAAAACAAAACAATCTCCTTACTGAGCTTGCCATGCCTTTTATTTTGGATGACAAAATCGTAAAACATCTGTTTTCTCAAACTTTTGCATCAACTTTCTGCCCCAAGTCTTCAGTAATGACAGAAGGTTGCCCACTACGCTCCTCGTCATGGACATTAGTACAGCCATCTTTAAATGCTCTAACCCATTTTCTTACCATTCCATCACTCAATGTTTTTTTTATACCTCATTCATTTGCCGATGAATGTCAACTGCTTTCACGTCTTTTGCATTAAAAAAACGAATTGCCAAGCGTACTTCACAATCAGCAGGATTTTCAATTGTCTGAGGTATTTTAAACAAATGTAAAACAAATGAATGTTTCCGTAATTGCATCTGTGACTAGCCAACAGATGTATGCACTCAATGCTTCTGTAATTGCATCTGTGACTAGCCAACAGATGTATGTACTCAATGNCTTCACAATCAGCAGGATTTTCAATTGTCTGAGGTATTTTAAACAAATGTAAAACAAATGAATGTTTCCGTAATTGCATCTGTGACTAGCCAACAGATGTATGCACTCAATGCTTCTGTAATTGCATCTGTGACTAGCCAACAGATGTATGTACTCAATGCTTCCGTAATTGCATCTGTGACTAGCCAACAGATGTATGTACTCAGTGCACATTCACAGAACACCAACCGTAGCAATGCAGCGGCCCTATTTTAAAACAGTACGTACCTAAAAAAACATGCCATGTACAAAATTTTAATATAAGAAAATTCTATATATAAGTATGATGATAAGTTCAAGCATTTTTGATGAAAACAGAAAATTAACAATTAATTAACATTAATATCAATTCAATAATTAATAAACTTAAAATTATTTTACCTTAAATAATGGTACAGCATGAAGTGGTTGTTCTCCTAAACATACTAGATCACTTCCAATTCCTAAAATATTAAATATATGGACTTTTTAATATATCTCATGCTTTTTAATCAAATAAAAATAAATAAAACAAAAATAATACCATTATCTATAATTCGCTGTTTGGTTATATTAGTTAATTCACGATCAACTTCAAAAACACCAACTCCAGGTGATATAACTACAGACAGTTGACCAGTACGATCAAAACTACGATCCATGTAGTGTTTCTCAAAAACTGTAATACATTAACATTATTCAAATGTTCCAAATTCAAATTATTATTATGACAAACTTAAAGAATTAAATGTTTATCTTTGATAATTAAAATAGTTACAAAACTCATTACTTTCCTGTAATGAGTTTTGTAACTATTGTTGTTCATTTGATTTTCTACTCATGTGATCTCTTCTTTGAATAATTATGTTTATTCTATCTGAATTTCTCTTTTCTGTTTTTTTTTCTTGGAGATTTCATAAAAGTTTATATAAAAAATAGAGAAGAGTTATTATTCTGTAGTCACATATGGATTATGTGTAAAAAACGATAGTATTTTTCTTAGACACATATGAATAATGTGACAGACCAGCAGAACAGACTACAGTCAGACTGGTTGGATTTGAAGTGAAAATGATAAAGACCTCAAATTGTTTCATCTGAATAAATTAAAGACTCCTAAAATTTCTCAAGAATTTGTTTTTTTAGCTTTATAAGTATTATTATAAAGTTTTTTTTTATTTTACTGTATATTTTTAGAAATTTTCTGCTATAATTTACAGAAATAAAGTTATATAAAAATCTAAATTAAATTCAAATTAAACTATAATATATGTGTGTGTGTTTAAATTATCATAACAATTTATATAATCAAATAACTATTTATTTATAGAAATATTGATGTTATGCTATCTATTAAGTTTAAATACTTTATTTACTATTTTTTTATAAATACACTGGTGTCCAAAATTAAGATAAAACACAAATTATAGAATATCTAAAAAAACACTTGAATCAGGACAAAATTTAGTACACAGATACCTCATGCCATGAGTTAGTCAGACATCAGTCATACAAAATGAAAACAAAAAATTAATGTCTGAAGATATGAACATTTTGCCAAGTGTACTCAAAACATGAAATAGCAAATCCTGAAGAAAGAAGTCACTAATAGGGAATATGACCATCTTGACAATTAAATAGTACCCACAATGAGCTATCATGTTGTTTATAAGGTTCTACGGAAGACTTTGGGGCAATAAATCCCACACTTAGCTCAAGACAGGTCCTGGAGGGGCTAATATGCCACAATGGTCCATTCCAGACATGCTCAATCTCTACTTTAGTGGTCATTTCCTTGATGGTCAAGATAGAGTTGGCAGGTTATCAATCTGCCAATTCTATCTTGACTCATCAGAAACATAATAAGAGTCCACTGATTCTTGTGTCCAGAGATAATGCTCATGAGACTAGAAAAGATAGTCTCACCTGTGGGAAGGACTGAGGGGGCACATTAACTTTAAAAATTCAATAATGCAAAAAGTTGTGCAAAGTAGTATAGTATAATACTTAAATATCCTTAAGCAAAGAAAAAAGTACAAATAATATAAATAAATAATAGAAGTTTTATAGACATTTTTACTTTCAATAAAGTATGTTTGAAGTTAATTTTATATCTCAATGTATTTTTAAATAATATCACATGTCAAGTACACATTACATTCTCAACTAATTATTAACGTATTCTCAAAAACTTGATGGTAAAATTAAATAATTAATTTAGTTTAATAACTTGGATTTTCCATAATATTATAATACCAATTCCTAACAAATATTAAAAATTCATTATACATTACTGTATATATATATATTTATTAAATTTCTACCTTTAACATAAAGATAGTATTATTCATATGAAAATGTATTAATAAAATAGTTGTAATTCATTTTATTTTATTTTTTCAAAGTTTTGAGTGATTATTAGATCTTAAAAGCTCCTATTAAAAATTCTACAATAGTCATAGTATTTTATGAATTAATAGCTGTTACCCGCAACTTTGACCATGCAGATTTTGCAAGCAAACACCATTTATATTCAGTATTTCAACAACCATAGTAATTGTTATATAACACCTACCACTGAGAATGATGAGAACTGCTGAAAATCAAATGAACTGTTTTCAATTTGATCAATTTTCTGGAACGTTTACAATCATTCTATAATTGAACCAATATGCAATAACAAATTTGAATTTAAAACTGTTGGAACATTTGGTTAATAAATCAAAATATATAAAAATATTTATAACAATGTCTGAAATGTTATCAATTTAATACACCTAAGTACTCAACGAAGACTAAATGTAGTTAAAAACAAAAAATCACATCTAAAATAGTACAGTAGAAGCCGTACTTCAGGTTAAGCCTTAATGCTCTCCTCCTCACCTGCGGGGGAATTTTCAAAAATTCCTTCTTAGTGTGCATTCTCATGGCGTACCCTAACTGTGTACCAAATTTCATCTCTCTAGGTTCAGCGGTTTGCTCCAGGCAATGATGAATCAATCACTCAGTCAGGACAAGAATTTTATAAATTTAGATTTCAACACACAAATGTATTTACTCTCTTCTGTAATATATATTTTCTTTTAATTTTATCTATAATATTGGGATTCTCAAGATTAACTGTATATAAACAAAAGTCAGAAAAAAAAAAGTTCAAATTATAAAAGATAATATACTTATGATAAATGTAATGCATTATTTAGATATTTGTAATTGATTATATTAAGTAATTATTGAATTTTTAAGCATTTAAAAATTATTTTTATACTTTATGGAGAAGGAAACTCTTAATAGTTTATTTTTATTTACATTTAAAATTCAGTAATTGATTTTATGTTTCATAAGACACATTTTTTGAATATTGAAAGCTAAATGTTTTGCAATAATTGAAATATAATGCTCATGTTATTCAAATTTAAAAGAAAAGAAAAAAAAAGAAAGAAATTAAAAACTAGTTAATAAAGCTATACAGTAGACCCCCCTATAACGCTTAGATACGTTCCACGCTAACCGAAAATTACGTTGTAGGAATGAGCCAATCACAGCCCAATAGGTGGGAACTTTACGGACTAAGGCTGTTCGAAAGGTTTTCTTCTATAAAATTAACCGATTCTAGACTAATTCCACTCAACATTTCCAAAACACGTATAATTTTTTGGGAGTAATCCGTATAAACTATGCTATAAACAAAAAATTATAGGATTACTTACCGAGTGTGTACCGTTCGACTACGCCCGTTGTTCAAAGCTTGTCTTCGTCGCGGAACAGCACACGAAACGGCGGCCGCGATATCTGATAAATAATTTATCGCAGAAAAATAACTTGACCTTTGGAGACATCATTAATATAAATAATTTTTATGGCCGTTGAATAAGAAGTGTTTCTTTCACAAGAAATGTATAAAATTAGTGCTGTATTAGACTTACGGTACCTAATTTACATACTGTGCAGACGATAATAAACTCAACTTACTAGCCTAAAATCTCCGTAGCGTGTTGCCAGGCGGCAGAAAGCATATATATAATTATAATAAAGTTACAATAAATTAAGTTAATATATAATTATATATACAGTACCTAATTTATATATAATTAATATATAATTATATGTACAGTACCTAATTTATATATAATTTATATATAATACTAAACAGACGATAGCAAACTCAATTTAGCCGCTCCGTAGCGTGGCGCAGGGTCGGAGGAAAGTAGTTCGGCTGCTCATCCACTATTGGTCCAGACTCTATCAATCTTGTCGCGAAACGACGTTATAGGAGGTACGTTATACGAAAGTTGCTACAATTTTTTCGCTACGTTATAGGAATTGTCGTTATAGGAACGTACGTTATAGGGGGGTCGACTGTAATGAATTTAGAGTAATCATCTAAAACAGTGTTTCTCAACAGGGGCGATATTGCCCCCATGTGGGCGTTTTTCCATGTTCAGGGGGCGATTTGTAACAATTATATTTTGGGGGCGAAAAACAATTTTCTGGGCGATATATTAAAACATTATATTAAGATTAATTAATTAGTTATTTTATTCGTTATATCGTACAATAATTAAACAAACAACTTTATACTAGTCACTAGTCTATTCAATGCAGTATGAATTTGGCGTTAACCCTGGCCCTCGGTATCAGAATTTTGAAGTGAAGGGGGCGATACTACGTAACGGTTTTATTGAAGGGGGCAATACTACATTGAAGGGGGCGACAATTCGTTAGAGGTTGAGAAACATTGATCTAAAATATTGTTCTGCAACCTTTTCTTATGTACGGTACTCAGATACTTTCCATAGCACACCAAAAATAAAAATATACAAAAAATATAGGAATTACAAAGTACATATTAAAAAACAAATACTAATTTATTGTTTTTTAATCATAATAATATAAAAATACTTGAAATTAGTTTAAAATTGATTTCCTTATTTCAATTTTATTTCTTAACAACCTGGGTGTGAAAAACAAATGATCAGGGTTTCAACTCCATGATTGTCACACCTAGCATCATCTCACAACACACTGTCTGTGGAACTCTGATATAAAACATATTACGATGAGAAATTCATTATAATTGTTGACTACCTGAAAGAGGGTTGGTTTGATTTTATATTATATTGCTAACAGTCATTTTTTGCTTGTTTTCAAATCTAAACAAGCATCTAAACAAGCATTATAATGATTATTCTCTTAAATGGTTATCAACTAATAGTAATAACAATAAATTTATTTAATATAATCATCATATTACACAACTGATAAAGCTTAAATCAAACTGAAAAAATATTTTTTTAAATAAAATAATTTGAAATATCATCTTAATTATATATATAATTTACAAGTATTACTTGTGAATTAAATTTATAAAAGCATTATTTTATTTTATTTTATTTTTAATAACCCTGTTATAATTCTTAACTTTTATCATAAATATTGCTATATTGAAATTCTTCTAACAACATTTATAAATAAATTATTTCTTAAAAATAACAATAATGATACTTTTACTTTTTATTAAGCCTACATGATTTCAAGATAGAATATGAGAAAATTGATAAAATTTCAGTAAATATTTCATTCCTTAAAGCAGTGATTCTCAACCTTTCTGAGACCACAGAACACCATTCATATACTTTTTATCATGCAGATATTGGCATAAATATATTCAAAAATTGTTATACAATTCATTCTTTACTATTCTCACAAAACAAAGTAATAAACATTATTGAATTGAATAAAACAGTGAACATCGATTTATCTATAAATAAAGTAATAATATTGTAGTATATTAGAATAAATTTGCCATAAAGACTTTAAAATATTTTTCCTTGGAACACTGCAGGCAAGTTTGCAGAACATGAGTTGAAAACCTATGCCTTAAAGTAACATACATACATTAATTTTACATATATATTAACTACAGTTCTTAAATTATTTATGAAACATTAATAATTTTTTGAAATTTTTAAATATCAAATCAAAATTGTTTACCATTCAATGACATGTTAAGAACTTCAAGAAAATTTCCTTGAGATGATGTTGAATTAACAGCATGTGGAATTTTTATTCCTGGTTTTTGATGACATTCTAAAACCATTTGCTGATATTTATTGAAGAGTTTTTTTAATATTATTAAAACTGAACTCCAATCATCATATCTTTCATTTTGCACAGCAACCCTTTCAAAACATTCAGTCTTTAAATATTTAATATATCAATAAATGAATTATATTTAAGGTTAGTTTCAAATATACCTGTAGAAATCTTCATAAAAACGTCCCTTATAATCTTGTTGTAAGCATTCCCTCATATATTCAGGAAATTCTTCAGTACTGTGTGCTTCATAAAATGTTCTTGAAAAAAGTACTATTGTTACATCATGATTGCAACTTAGTTTCTATAGAATAAATGTCAATTAAATTTTGTGCACAAATGCAAAATAAAATTATTACAAAATCAAACATTGAATAATATATTTACTTTCCACTTGGCAAACAAATCAGACAAAAATCCATTCACTGCTTTTTCAAAATAAAGGTCACCATTAATATCAAAATCCCACATTTCTGAACTCATTTGGAGAAATAAATATACCATACTACTAGCAGAACGATAAACAATTTTTGAATCTGGTGTAATAACACCACAGGATACCCTCTCACCCTGAGACCACATCTCAAACACCTGACACCTAAAATAGTTATTGACAGATTAGAGATAGTATTGTATAATTACATTTAAATTTTATTAATAATCTTACCTAATACTATAAAATTCTATCTTTTTGTTTATATATACACAAGTATTTATCTGAAAAACAAAAAATATTTATATACAAAGCTTGATATGTTTATATTTTTTGATTATATCATACTTATTTTATTATGTAAAAATTATGGCACCATAGTAATTATAAAAATATTAACTTCTAAATTAATGGTAATGTTAAACTAATATAAAATCTGCTTTATAAGTAACAAAATAAACAACTATCGTTCGGTGTTAAAACGTTTTAAATCAACATAAAAGATATACACAAGCACTTTTGATGATGCATTACAGTCTTTATCAGACAAAAATTTCTGTAGAATATTGAACAAAAATTTTTTAAATTAAGAGAGCACAAGTTCAAACTTTTTTTTTGTCTCACATACATAAATACTTAACGATTTTTAGTCATTTTTAAAGTTTTTTATTAAATGCAAAGGAATGCAAATCATTAAAAACAGGGCATAAAACCATTGTTTATCATTGCCCAGCACCTATGTTGCAGAAGCTACATTTTACAACCTACAATAGAACATTGGAAACTACTTTAAAATGCAAGATAGTCATGTTGAATTGTCTTGATTTACATGGTTAACAGAGATGGTAGGTTAACTCTAGTATTTAGTGATGTATAAATGTGCTGGTGGTACTGTGTTAAATAAGGCATCTATTAACATGCAAAAACCAAGAATTTAATCTGATAAATGAAAACATGGATATAAAATTCAACACAGTGATATACTCATTACCCATTAATGTAATCTCTTTAAACTTGTCTACTAGTTGTAAAGCACCATGGATAATATATTCTCAGCTTAAGTGTTGGTTTCTTCTATGTAAGCCTGACAAAGGCCCTAAAAAAGGCCAAAAACATTAGCTATTGTGTAAATTAAAAACTTTGTCCTGCTGGAAAGGTGTATATGGTTTTCTCATGTTAGTTTGAGATTCTAGCTTTAGAAGTTTTTCATGATTTATTACTTCAATTGAGATAAAACAGAACTGTATGGAATAAGTGTTATTTGAAATCCTATTACTAAGATAACATATCTGCATCAAAATTAAACTTGGATCACTTTAATACCACACACTGTTTTTATTTTTTATAAAATTATTATACTTTTATGAAGTAATATTAAATTTGCAGCACATCATAATAAGTATTTCTTGTAAGTGACTTTATATTTAAATCAATTTACATCCTAAAAAAACACAATTAAATAGTTTTAAATTAACTTTATATTTTTATATTACAACTTAAATGAGATAAAAATATTAATTTTTGTTACCAAACATTTTTTAATTCTCCACATGTCACTGCGTGCAAGATATTGATCTTTGAAAGTCAATTCTACAGAATCTAAAGCAACATCCTAGAATAAAAAATTAAAAACAATAATTTACTTCTTTTAACAGATTTAGAACAAAATATTTTGTAGCCACATATTAAAATACATTATTCTTTTAACCAAAATATTTAAATAGTTTTATTGATAATTACTGAATATAAATATAATTATAAATTAAAATTAATTTAGTAATATAGGCACAATGTATAAATCTATCCCGTGTTGAAATTTTTCTCCGTTGCATGTCACACCACATTGAATTTTTGTCAATGTTAAGCCTAATGAAAATTAAATGATTTGAAAAAAATAATCGTGGCTATTGTATCATCCAAAATGTTTTATTTTGCACAAACAAAATAGATATATTAATACATACTGTAGTACTGTAGTGGTGTTTTTTTAAGTAAGTACCATTTTAAAATAGGACCACTGCAGTGCTATGGTTGGTGTTCCACGAATGTGCGCTGAGTACCTACATCTGTTGGCTAGCCATAGATGCAATTACGGAAACATTCGTTTGTTTTACGTTTGTTTAAAATATCTCAGACAATTGAAAATCCTGCTGATTGTGAAGTATGCCTGGCAATTCGTTTTTTTAATGCAAAAGACGTGAAAGTAATTGACATTCATCGGCAAATTAATGAGGTATAAAAAAAAACATTATGAGTGATGGAATGGTAAAAAAATGGGTTAGAGCATTTAAAGATAGCCATACTAATGTCCATGACGAGGAGCATAGTGGGCAACCGTCTGTTATTACTGAAGACTTCGTGCAGAAAGTTGTTGCGAAAGTTTGAGAAAACAGATGCTTTACGATTTTGTCATCCAAAACAAAAAGCGTGGCAAGCTCAGTAAGGGGATTGTTTTGCTTCATGACAATCCTCTTACTGTTCATTGAGCCTGTTCACATGTGGCTCAATGAACCCAAGATCTTATCACATCATATTAGGGAGGTTGCGGCCAGTGTTTTCAATGCAAAAACATGTACGCCTAGAAGTTTGACAATGGCGGTTAGGACGTCGAGCATGATTCCACTCACGTTCCAAACACCATTATCAAACTTCTAGGCTTACAGGATGGCGGCGCTGAACGTCTGATGTACATGTTTTCGCGTTGAAAATGTCAGCCTCAACCTCTCTATTGGCTGGGAACAACTTGATCACCCTCCGTATAACCCTGATCTAGTGCCTAGTGACTACCACTTGTTCCTGCACTTGAAAAGGCATCTAGGCAGTCAGCGCTATGACGATGATGTCAAAATGCCGTGCTGCAGTGGTTGGCAAATCAGGTGGCAGGTTTTTATGAGGATGGAATTCAAAAGCTGGTTGTACAATATGAAAGGTGCCTTAATATTGGAAGAAATTATGTTGAATAATAGATTAAGGTACAGGCTTTTATGTAAGAATAAAATTATTAAAAAAATTGCAGTTCTGTTTTATTAATATCAAAATGGTACTTACTTAAAAAACACGCCTTGTATTTGCAATTTTCATCATACCCAATCATGATTGACTAGTGAGCAGATACTTTTGTGTGCATCTTTTTCCTTATTGATATTTAATATTGTGCATTTATCCCTATGTTTTACATTTTTCCTCATTCAAAACATTGGAAATATCTGCTTTAAATATTACTGATTTTCATTCATAATAATGAATAATTACACCAAACTGTTTTAATTTTCTACATCTCAAGTACAAAAAGCTAGAAATGTACATGACATTAAATTTATGCATTAGACTGACAGATACTTTGTAACTATGTACAGTATGTATAACTCTATAGTTCAGGTGAAGCACATAATAATTTGTATAGCAAAAGAAAAAACATATTTCCTTTTTATAAATGTACTGTTAAAAATCTACGTATAATGTGTTTAAAATATTTAATTTTCTAAATGATGGTGCAGTATAGATAATCATCATTCAACACTTGTTTATTTATCAAGTAAATTTTATCAATAAAAA